GAGTGCTAATTACAATTGTTGGGGTGAAGTGAATTCAAGTAACCTAAAGATACTCTGGGTATGTTGGACATGTTTCATAGTACAGGGCACTGATGTCTTCACTCTGTTCACAGGAAACAAAAATGTCGTTTCCATGGAGATGACTCACCAGGTTGGGCAGAATGACCATGTTGCTTTTGATGTCACCACTGAGCGTGACTTCTCCGAGTGATCCAAATTAATGTTTCAGTGCAGCAGGGACCTGAAACATGTCAATCTTCTTGAACTCTGGTGAAAATTTATCACACACAAGCAGGGAGAGCGAGCATCACACAGGAAGCTTCAGCTTCTCATTTCTCAGAAGGGAAATGTAATTCTGGTTTCCCCTCTTTCACTTCCTGAAAGCCCACTGAAGCTGTTTCATCAGAGCCTCACTGATACTTGTAATAACTTGTTTTATATACTTTATGTTTATCATTAAAATCTATGAGTAAAGATATATTTCCCACACTGACCTGACCCGATATATATATATTATAAATCAATTAAACATGTAAATGACCCGAACTTTACTGAGGTACACATTAATCAGTCATGTTTATATGAATACAAAACTGTTTATGAGGCATAAGTAATGCATGTATATAAAAAATCATAATGTTCTGAACATCACTGAAATAAAATGATGAAGCAATAAACTGTTAGAGTCAGCTTCCTGTCTGTAAGGCAGTTTGTCGGTGCAGGTGATTCTTTGGTAACTGTGTTTTAAGACAGGTTTGCAACCCACCACCTATTTCTTATACAGACATTAACAGTGACAGCAACACTTTAGGTAAAAGTCTACTTCAAAGTTCAGAGTAGTTTGTAAAAAAAGAAAGAAATCAAACTAAGTACATATGATACAGACAAAAAGTCACCTGACAGTAGAAAGCACCACTTGGTAGAGGTTGGCTGGTTCATGGGTCATAATGGCACAGTACAGTTGTTGGGTTTCCAGTGTCCAGAAACCCAGCTGAGGGGGTTGCACAGATAAACCATGTGCATGTTTTGCTTGTTTCATATTTCATTCATTCACAATATTTTCAGTTTACAAACATACATTTAAATAAATAAACACAGAGTACTATTTATAAACTGCTTCGTTAAAGAAAACAAAAACGTCACCTGATCTGTGGTGGTCATTTTTAACACTTTGTTTTTATATTTGTGTTTTTGTGTCTCTGGTCTGACCAGAATCCTGAACTGAGTAAATAAAGCTTGTTTCCTCTTATCCACTTCTCTGGTCAGTGTCTCAGTTTCACTATCGGTCAGTGTCACATCTTCTTTGCTTCAGCATTAATGGTTATGTCTGAAAACCTGCAGTACAAACATGAGCTGTAACTGTGAATGTGCAGAAAGATGAAAGTAAAAGTCAAGTTCATGCACTGCCGGGTGATCAGTGGGCAGGGCCTGTGCCAGAGCATATGGACTGGATTGATAGCCAACTTTTGACGGGGGGGATTTCTCTAAAGTCTCTCCTTTTTAATTAAATAAATTCATGAAAATAAATTAAAACATTAAATACGAAGAGAGCTAATCTAACATATCTGTAATGTATAAACTGGACCATCTTCAGAGGCCAGACAACAAAGTCACTTTTACACAGGTTACTTTAAACTGCATCGTGACCTGCTTTGTATATTTACTTCACAGACAACAACAGATATATAAATATAAAAATATGTCTCTTACAAGTCATAGTGTAATAAAGAGGAGACACTTTTCCTCCAGGTGCAGACTTGATCAATGAACTCCCCTCACACTGGAACATGTGAGCACACTGAAGGTCTACACATGTTCATTTGTATTGACAAGCAGGAAAGCTAGCCTGACCTCTTTTTAGCTCCAAAAGGGACATGAAGGGTACCTGACGAGGTCGGTCAGACAATCAATAAAGAAAATGCAAAGAAAACGTGTCAGATTTATGCACTGGGAACTCTCAAAGCTTGAAAGACAGACCATCTTTAAACTTCTAATCAAATCAAATCACTTTTATTGTCACATCCCATTACTGGTACACTGGAACAGCACATGAGAGTGAAATTCTTGTGTGCAAGCTTCACAAGCAACAGGTGTGCAAAATACAAAAACATAAGAACAAAGCAAAATATAATAATGGATAAATACATGTACAAATATAAGAGTGTATGTGCATTACTGAATATGTATTCTAAATATGTATATCTACGTGTGTGTGTGCGTGTGTGTGTATATGTATACATAAAATAAAATAATATACAGAGGTCAGCAGTTGGAAATGTGCAAAACAAATGACATTTATGTACAGTATGGAGTGCATAGTGTCGAAATCGACAATTACACGAATGTCGACCTGTAGATGTCCTGGAGGGAGGGAAGCTCACCTCCAATTATCCGTTCAGAGCACCGCACTACTCTCCGGAGAGCTTTGCAGTTGTAAGCAGTGCTATTGTCATACCAGGTGGCAATGCATCCAGTGAGGATGCTCTCAGTTAGGGCTGGGTTTTTATAATCGATTCATCTATTAAAATCGATTTTGGCTTGGATAACGTAAAATCGATTCATTAAAATCCTGAATCGATTTTTTAATATAAATTTATTTTGCCCGAAATGCCAGAATCTCAGGTGACATCTCACAAAATTTCAAGAACCACCAAACAGTAAATGAGAGCAGGAACAGGGATTCTGCACAAAGACTTAAACACACAGCGCGACCCGCGGATCAGAATCGGTTAGATGGCGCCTTTCTCACAGCTGAAAGCCGACAGCTCGCTGATTCTGATCTGTGGGCGGGTCGGCGCTTTGTGTTCACGCCCTTTATGCGCTGATTCTAAAGCTGTTAGTTTGATGTCTCTCCAAACAATATTGACCAAACCAGCAGCAAAAGAAGATCCAAATGCTTCACATAAACATCGTCATGAATTCACTCTGACTTTTACTGTTTTGCTTCCACCACGATGTACAGCTCTCTCTCTCCCTCTCTCTCTCCCCCTCTCTCTCTCTCCCTCCCTCTCTCTCTCTCTCTCCCTCTCTCTCTCTGTACTTCAAGAACAGTTTCGCTTTCTTCATTATTCGCTTGCTTGTTACGCACAAGTCTACTGTTGCTTACAGGCTGTCGGCCGCTGTTTTTTCCCTTTTACATTCTTCCGAAATGAAAACCTCATTTCTGCTGTTCAATACTGAACAAATTTAAACTTTTTAAAATTAAGCAAAATGCAAAACGCTGTGTCTGTAATAAAACCGCTGTAACGTCAGAGGTAATGTTCATATGTTGATTAATGGTTTTCTTTCGTTTTTGACGTACTGCAGAATATTTTTATAAAATCCAGGCCAGGAAAATCACCTTCATGTTTTTCTGTGTTTTATCCTCAGCTACTTTGACACAAAGGCCTCTGCTGTGACGCTCACACCTGTGATAAAGTCTTGCGTGTGTCAGCTTCCTTTTTATTGATACAAAAATATGTAAATGTACTGATCTGAATTATATTTCTGACTGTCAAAATTTCCCAGATTTAAATCGAATTGAATCGAATTAAATTGAATTGTGGATTGAATCGATTCTAGAAATCAGTGACGATACCCAGCCCTACTCTCAGTGGCACAGCGATAGAAGGTCCTGAGGATATGGGGGCTTACGCCAAATCTTTTCAGTCTCCTGAGAAAGAAGGAGACTGTTTTGTTTTGGGGTGTGTGCTTCTCTGCACCTCCAGAAGTCCACTATCAACTCCTTTGTTGTTGCAAAGTTGAGGGTAAGATGGTTGTCTCGGCAACAGTGACCTCCTCCCTGTAAGCCATTTCATCACCTATCACTGTCCCTCAATGGTACAGTGATAGAAGGTCCTGAGGATGCGGGGGCTCATGCCAAATCTTTTCAGTCTCCTGAGAAAGAAGAGGCGCTGCTGGGCCTTCTTCACTGTTTTGTTTGTGTGTACTGACCACGTAAGATCCTCAGCCAGATGTACACCAAGGAAACGGAAGCTGCTCACTCTCTCCACAGCAGCTTCGCTGATGGTGATGGGGGTGTGTGCTTCTCTGCACCTCCGGAAGTCCACTATCAACTCCTTTGTCTTTGCGACGTTGAGGGTGAGATGGTTGTCTTGACACCAGTGGGTCAGGGCGCTGACCTCCTCCCTGTAAGCCGTCTCATCACCGTTGGTGATAAGACCCACCACTGTGGTGTTGTCCACATACTTCACAATGATGTTGGAGTTGTTAGTGGCTGTGCAGTCGTAGGTGTAGAGTGAGTACAGGAGAGGGCTCAGTACACACCCCTGTGGAGCACCAGTGTTCAGTGTGATGGGGGATGAGGTGATGCTGCCCAGTCTGAAAACCTGGCGTCTGTCAGACAGGAAGCTAAGGATCCAGCTGCAGGGAATGAGCAGGTGTTCATCCGAGATTATGTTTTCTAAAAGTGGAACCAAAGAGGAGTATACGGCGAAAACTAAGTGGCCTTAATGTAAAGCCTTTGGTAATCCGAAAGATCGTCCTTTTCCAAAGGTGAGAGAGAACAGTTAGTCAGAGATACACACTGGATCAAACACAGATCTGCATGTAATTTGAATCAAACATTTGTGAGAAGGACGGCTGTGCACAATGACCTACCTGCCAGCTCTTCTCCTCCATTTAACTTGCTTCTTTAGTAGTGAGTGGAATAGATTCATGAATCCTGGTCCAGAGAAGACAGAACAGTCAGCCAGGAAGAAGCAAGCAAAAAGACCAACATATGTAACATTGGTATTTCCAGTTTGACACCAAGATCCAAATAATGAGTCACATGATTACACTTAGATATTTAATATAAATAAAACAAACTTGATCAGTAAAGAAGATTGAAAGAAGGATGAATGATTCAGGTTCTGATGTGAGCTGAGGTTTTAGCAAATATTGGATTTAAACCTGCAGGATGTGCGCTGAGTTAAAGATTCATTATAAATGGTCCAGCTCCAGTCTTTACATTTCACACCAACTTTACAACAGACAACAACAAGAAGAGGAAGAGGACTTTACGCAGAGGAAGAAGGTCCATCAGTCATGGGTTTTTTCTTCTTTCTGAAACCTTGAAACAGCTCTGTAAAGCTTGCACCATGTTTTCCTGCAGAGGAAACAGACAACATTGATTCAGAGTCTCATTTAACTTGTTTTCAATCTCTGGTGCGAGTTATCAAGAATATTTGAAACATCAGAATCAGGACAGCAACCATTACTCAGTGATATCAAAGAAAACTATGGGAACCTTTCCTCATTTCAAGACAAAGACGAACCATAAAATAATAGTTAACATTTAAATATTGTTTCAGAATGAGTGTATTAAGTGAATCTATTTGGCATCTGAGACTCAACAGAAATGGATGCTTACTGTTTTCACAGCAGTTCCTCCACTAAAGTAGCAGAAGCTGGAGGAAGCTGCATTTACTGACCTCTGACAGTAAGCATCACAATTTTCTGTCTCAGGATGTCTTCACCCTGGGAGACTGTGCACATGTAGAAACCACTGTGGTTTTTTTGGAGATCTTTCAGGGTCAGACTGAGGTCTCCAGTCCTCAGTGGCTCTTCATTCATCTCTGTGCGACCTCTATAATCCTGTCCCTGTTCTTCTAGCAGGTTTTGACCATCCTGATAGGTGTGGACTGTAACTTTGGCATCACCACGCCTCCACTCGATTGTGACATCATCGGGTAGATCAAGAGTGGTTTTAAAGGGCAGCAGCACAGACTTCTTCCCCTTTGTTACTTCGACTATTTCCACCTTGTAGCCTGATAAAATACAACATGAGCTGTAAATACAGACACAAATTATAAATTTACTGGCCTCAGATGAGTTTACAGACCTCTGATAGTGAGTATCACTATTTTCTGTTTCAGAATGGCTCCATCATTTTTGTAGACGGTGCAGGTGTAGACTCCACTGTCAATAAATCGAGGGAAATTCAGGGTCAGACTGAGGTCTCTGGTTCTCAGTAGCTCTTCATTCATCTTAGGGCGGCCTTGATAGTCCTGGTGTTGCTCTTCATGCTTTTTTTGGTGGTTCTCATGCATGAGGACCTTCACATCGTCAAGGTCTGTACGTCTCCACTCCACTCTGACGTCCTCAAGCAGGTCAGCTTCGGTTTTGAAGGGAAGCAGAACACGCTTCACCCCTCGTGTCACCTCCACTGTCTGAAGCTCGTAGACTGAAGAAAGGAGAAACAAGTTGTACAGACAGGCAGAAGTTATGTGCTGCAGTTAATTCATATCAGTTTGATTTATTTAGTGTCAGATCAAAAGTATATCCGAGTGCTTTACAATGAAAATAACTCTAAAATACCAAAGACAGAACCACACTGATCAGGTAATCTCATTCATTTTAAAAGAAGATACTTCCAATAGAAACAGGATCACAGAGGTGTAGCCATATTTTGGGTGGTGAGGAGGTAGAGGAATAAGATCAGAGAGACCACACATAACAAACAGAACAAAGAACAAACTACAGCAGAGAGAAGACAAAGTTCAGGACATGAACTAGTGGCGTATGAACATACAGGGAGTGAAATATGGGCATGAAAAAAAATTGGTTTAGTGCATCATCGGAAACCCCCAAAGCCTGTAGGAGGAGCCTGTATACAGGGAGTGCAGAATTATTAGGCAAATGAGTATTTTGTCCACTTCATCCTCTTCATGCATGTTGTCTTACTCCAAGCTGTATAGGCTCGAAAGCCTACTACCAATTAAGCATATTAGGTGATGTGCATCTCTGTAACGAGAAGGGGTGTGGTCTAATGACATCAACACCCTATATCAGGTGTGCATAATTATTAGGCAACTTCCTTCCCTTTGGCAAAATGGGTCAAAAGAAGGACTTGACAGGCTCAGAAAAGTCAAAAATAGTGAGATATCTTGCAGAGGAATGCAGCAGTCTCAAAATTGCAAAGCTTCTGAAGCGTGATCATCGAACAATCAAGCGTTTCATTCAAAATAGTCAACAGGGTCGCAAGAAGCGTGTGGAAAAACCAAGGCGCAAAATAACTGCCCATGAACTGAGAAAAGTCAAGCGTGCAGCTGCCAAGATGCCACTTGCCACCAGTTTGGCCATATTTCAGAGCTGCAACATCACTGGAGTGCCCAAAAGCACAAGGTGTGCAATACTCAGAGACATGGCCAAGGTAAGAAAGGCTGAAAGACGACCACCACTGAACAAGACACACAAGCTGAAACGTCAAGACTGGGCCAAGAAATATCTCAAGACTGGTTTTTCTAAGGTTTTATGGACTGATGAAATGAGAGTGAGTCTTGATGGGCCAGATGGATGGGCCCGTGGCTGGATTGGTAAAGGGCAGAGAGCTCCAGTCCGACTCAGACGCCAGCAAGGTGGAGGTGGAGTACTGGTTTGGGCTGGTATCATCAAAGATGAGCTTGTGGGGCCTTTTCGGGTTGAGGATGGAGTCAAGCTCAACTCCCAGTCCTACTGCCAGTTTCTGGAAGACACCTTCTTCAAGCAGTGGTACAGGACGAAGTCTGCATCCTTCAAGAAAAACATGATTTTCATGCAGGACAATGCTCCATCACACGCGTCCAAGTACTCCACAGCGTGGCTGGCAAGAAAGGGTATAAAAGAAGAAAAACTAATGACATGGCCTCCTTGTTCACCTGATCTGAACCCCATTGAGAACCTGTGGTCCATCATCAAATGTGAGATTTACAAGGAGGGAAAACAGTACACCTCTCTGAACCGTGTCTGGGAGGCTGTGGTTGCTGCTGCACGCAATGTTGATGGTGAACAGATCAAAACCCTGACAGGATCCATGGATGGCAGGCTTTTGAGTGTCCTTGCAAAGAAAGGTGGCTATATTGGTCGCTGATTTGTTTTTGTTTTGTTTTTGAATGTCAGAAATGTATATTTGTGAATGTGGAGATGTTATATTGGTGTCACTGGTAAAAATAAATCATTGAAATGTGTATATATTTGTTTTTGTTAAGTTGCCTAATAATTCTGCACAGTAATAGTCACCTGCACACACAGATATCCCCCTAAAATAGCTAAAACTAAAAACAAACTAAAAACTACTTCCAAAAACATTCAGCTTTGATATTAATGAGTTTTTTGGGTTCATTGAGAACATGGTTGTTGTTCAATAATAACATTATTCCTCAGAAATACAACTCGCCTAATAATTCTGCACTCCCTGTATGAGGGATATAAGCAGTTCCACGTACAATATTTATTTAATGTGAATGTTCACACAGGCACATTTGTTGGCCCTTTATGTGTATACATATACAAGGAAAAGTACTCCATCTTTTGCTTTACTTTCAATGTACTTGCCAGAATAGACAAACGGACAATATGACAGATGCTGGGTCTGCGCTTCCACAGGCCCCGCTGGTTAGAAACTTATTCTTGTTAACGGCAAACAAGACGAACATCTTTTACTTGCTACCAAGGGAGGCCCGCTTGTAAAACCCCCCTATGGTTACAAAAGACAAGGCACTATGTGTGTATGTGTGTGCACTTGTAAGCACGTGTATGCATGTGATTGATGATCAATCTGAAGCCGAATGTCTTGGACGCTGTATGCATTGGAGACCTGGCGCACCTAAATATATAGTAAGGTTTCTCTGGGAATGCCTGGCAGAAGTCCTGGTCTCTAAGATCTTCAACTCCCATCACCTACAGCATTCTGTCTGAGACATCAGGCAGAAGAAAGAGTCCTATCGGGCTCTGTTTCCCTGTGGGACTTAGGAGGCAGCTGATGAGTACCAACAGGTTAAGCAGAACGTGGCTTGGGTGGTAGCTGAAGGAAAAACTAGGATGTGGGAGGAGTTCAGAGAAGCCATGGAAAAAAAAAACTGTCTTGTTGGGATTCTGTCATGGGCCTTGTCTGCAGTTGGAGTCAGCAGGACTCCACTCCAAGAAGCAGAGTCTGGTTGGCTTTAAGATGGTTAACCTCCTAGGACCTGGCATCCACATATGTGGACATCACATTTTGGGTTATTTAGACCAAAATACTAAATCTTGCTCTACATACCCCTGATATCCACTTACGAGGACATTATACTGTTACTGTTCTATCGAAATTTTAAACAAATATCCTCATATGTGGCTCTCATTTTCTTAGAAACAAAAATCAGGTAAAAAGAAATCTGGTAATTTGTTGTTCGGGTCTCAGGAGGTTAAGAAGGGGGACCTGAGGGTGTGTTCCAGCTATAGGAGGATAACACTCCTCACCCTCCCTGGGAAAGTCTGTGCCAGGGTGCTGGAAGGGAGAGTCCATCCGTTAGTCGTACTTTGGATAGAGGAAGAACAATGTGGTTTTCTTCTAGGTCACTGAAACTGGACCAGCTCTTCACTCTCTCAATGATACTCTAGCTGCAGGTGAGTTTGCACTAGCAGATGTTTAGAAAAATTCAAATAAATAGTAAAATACCTTTAACAGCAGGATTTAAATGAGTGTTGTGCTTACAGAGAAACTCAGAGAAATTTCAGCCATTGCTTTTCTAACCTGTTGATTAAAATAAACCACACATTTTTTACTCAGTACTGAAACTGAAAGATCAAAGTATTTGGCTTCGATCCTGAACCCACACACACATAAACCTCACACGGGCTGAGCACACACAATAAAATGTTTCTCCCACTGAAAATGTGACATCCAGATGAACAGAATCAACTTTTTGGGATTTACTATAAACAGTGTTGGAAGGTTACTTTTAAAATGTATTCCATTACAGAATACAGAATACATGTATTCTGTAACGTATTCCGTTACGTTACTCAATGAGATTAACATATTCTGAATACTTTGGATTACTTAATATATTATCATGCTTTTTACAACAACGTGAATGTACTATTGCTGTGTGATTTATTACTATTACTGAAGGTCCGCGACTCCGAACTGTAGTAAAGGGACCTCTGACTAATACGTCGGGTTCTGTGTCAGCTCGTAGCCGAAAAATAGCTTTACTTTGTTGTGTGGGTCAACTTTTCTTGCGAGAGACAGAGAGAGGCGTTGAAAGGCTGCTGCAACGGAACTTATTGTTTTTGGAGGAAAACACGAACACGGTGTACAGTCGAGTCTTAATAGCTTACTTACAACTGGGCTCGTCAGGCACTCTTCTTGGCTGCAGTGGTTATTATTATATTTACATGCTTCCAGCTCCCGTTTCTGCTCGGTGACAGCTCCTACTTTTCCTTTTTCTCCCTCCTCGCTCACAGACCCATAACATGTATGGCAGTCCATTCTCCCTGCAACACGGACTACACTGCCCATGATGCTACATTCTTTAGAGCTATGTTTGTAGCATTCTGCCTGTTAGCTTAGCACAACAACAACAAAAAGTCCTCTCTCACCCAGGAAACATGCAGAGAGAGAGCATCACCTGTAACCATGGCAACCATAACGCTGCCCCCTGGAACAACAGAACGTAGCTGTCAAACAAACCCAAACAGTCCTGACCCGCGACAAAATGAAACAGGAAAGTACCGCAGTGTAATCCATTTATTTCAACAAAGTAACTGTATTCTGAATACCACCTTTTTAAATGGTAACTGTAACGGAATACAGTTACTCATATTTTGTATTTTAAATACGTAACGGCGGTACATGTATTCCGTTACTCCCCAACACTGACTATAAACATGTTAACTTTGCAACTGCTTATTTACCTATATGTTAAGTTTAAGATGGTTATGCTTGGTCAGATGTACTACCTGTCAAAAGTTGTAGAACACCACAGCTTTTTATTGAAAATTATGTCGTAAAATTGCACTTTGAAATGAAAGTATTGTACAAACTAGAAAGTGAAGATTTCTCTGGCAGTTCACATCTTACCTTGGTACCATTTCAAGCTATTCATTGGAATTGAACAACTTGTATTCCAATAAATACCTGGAAAAAGTGGGGTGTTCTAAAACTTTTGGCCAGTAGTGCAGATTTCCTTTTTTCATATTTTTCATACAGTCAATGGAGTCCAGAGAGTTGACAAAAGGAATTGACAACATACCACAGCTTCTCTGATGTGCTTACTGACCTCTGACACTGAGCACCACCACTTTCTGTTTTAGGACTTTTCCATGCGTGCAGACAGTACAGGTGTAGACTCCGCTGTCAGTGATGCCGAGTTCTTTCAGGGTCAGACTGAGGTCTCCGATTCTCAGTGCCTCTTTGTTCATCTCTGTGCGACCTCTGTAAATCTCGTCCTGTTCACCTGAAAGGTGCTGGCTGCTCTGAAACATGTGAACTTTTTTGTGTTTGGAGTCTGAGCGTCTCCACTCCACTGTGGCATCCTGAGAAAGGTCATCTTTGGTTTTAAAGGGCAGCAGGACAGACTTGCTCCATTCTGTCACCTCCACCGTCTCCATCTGGCTCTCTGAGAGGAGAACACAGTAGAACATGAGACAGACAGACATCAGTGAGGTGGATCCTCCATCATGTCCTCTGCTGTGTAACCAGCAGCTCCTGTTTTCAGTGTTTCTCTGACTTGGAGCTCGACTGCTTGTGTGTTGATGTGTGAGGCTGCACAAATTGCTGCTTTGCTCTGCTATCTGCTGCTTTCTTTAGTCTTCTGAATTTATTCTGTCACACCTGCAGACACTTACAGCGTCTACCCTTCAGCATGATGCTGGGGAATTTGTGTTTTTAACAAAGCAGTGAGTCAGCAGGAATCACAGCCTCTGCTACACAGCATGGATCAAACTTTTGTTTGGACTCTGGTCCTGTGTGTGTCACATGTGGTGTGATGGACCCTTATTTTTGTGTTGTTATATTGACAGTGGTAAATTTATTGACAAAAATTCTTGTCATGGATATGTTGCCATGGAGATCTGACATAGTACAGCCAGATGTTAAGTCCTGTAGAAGAAAGAAGCAGTGTGGAAATTAATGAGTTAATGAGCTGAAACAGGGGATTAAATGGCAGATGTTATCCCATGTTTTTTTTTTTCATTCAGAGGTCTGTGCAGGCCTTAATCGGATTCACACAGCTCCCTCAGTTCGCAAGTTTAATCAAAATGTCTGCATTTATTCATTCAAATGAAAATGTGTCAGCAGTAGTTTGATTTTGTTCAAATTTGTGGAGGATCCAGAAGACAATCAAAGCTGTTCCACTCACCTCTGACAGTGAGAGACACCACTTTCTGAAGTAGGAGGCTTCCATCCTTGCTGCTGACGTTGCAGGTGTAGACTCCGGTGTCAGTAACGCGGGGCTCCTTTAGTTTCAGACTGAGGTCTTTATCTCTCAGTGGCTCTTCCTTCATCTCTGTGCGGCCTTGGTACACCTCGTCCTGTTTGTCCGGCTGATTTTTTCCACTGTCATACACGTGAACCTGCATGTGTTTGGGGTCAGTGAGTCTCCACTCCACTGTTGCGTCCTGGGGAAGATCCTCTGTGGTCTTAAAGGGCAGCAGGACAGACTTCTGGTCTCCCTCCAAGATCTCCACCATCAATACCTGGCTGTCTGTGAGGAAACAGAGCAGATCATGACATGTGCACACAAACCAACACATCAGTCTACCAGGACCTCAAAGAGCAGGTGTGTAATTGTTTCAGTGCCCATGTCATGGAGGACAGAAAAAGAAGTATAACTGTATCCACTGGAGATCTTTAGGGCCACAAATCTCAAGTGTTGCAAATTAGCATCAATCCACAACTGCACAAAGCTCAGATCAAATGAGTGCCCACAAAGGAAGAATAAGAGGAAAATCATTCACTCATTACTTCCTGTCCAGTTCTGGTTTACAACAACAAACCAAACAGCAGCACACGCAGATACAAGGTCATCATACCTGCTGGGCGTTTGATCCATTTATATCTATAACACATGATGATCCCACTGACAGCCAGGAGAGCCAAGACAGCCAGGACAACAAAGAGAGCCCAGAGCCAAGTCGGAGGTCGCTCTGTGGTGAACAGAAGAAACCTGAACATGAAACATTCACAGCAGATTTCCTCACTCGTTCACTACTCTGTGTCCTGATCAATGAGCTCATTCACAAAATAAAATCATTTTAGACGCAATTTTTATTTAATGTAACAAAAGTGGACCGTACAATCTACAGCTCAACTAGCAAGATGTCAGCAACCTATAAGTGAAAAGATGATAGGTTTTTACTAACCAGATACTTTATTAGCATCCACTAAACTGCTGCCATGTGATTGGTTGATTAGATATTTTTGTTAAAGAACAGCTGAACAGGTGTGCCTAATAAAGTGGCACTGAGTGTATATGTGTGTTGAAGTCAGATTGCTCCCCCTGCTGGAGTCACTCGGACATCTGTTTTTCTTTCACACCATTACAGAGCCACTGTCACAGAGCCTCACTGGACACTTTATTAGGTACACCTTGCTGGTATCCTGTTCCTTTGCTTGTTAATGGCTCCGATGTGACATCATCACAGACATGCTGCACATTTATCATGTGACTCTTTTGTTCCAGCACATACCAAGGACGCTCTGTTGGACTGAGATGTGTTACTGTGGAGGCCGTCAGAGTGCAGTAAACTCATTGTCATGTCTGAGATGATCTCAGCTTTGTTACCCTGCAGGAAGCATACACTGAGGTCATTCTGGGATGGACACAGTCAGCAACAGTACTCATGGCTGTGGGGTTTAAACAATGCTCTGTTGGTATTTAAGAGGCCAAAGGTGTCTCAGGAAAATCTCCACTACACCATCACACCACCAGCTGTCTAAGCCTTTAAGTTAGCATGAATCCATGCTTTCAAGATGTTTTCACCATACTGTGACTCTACCATCTGAATGTTGCAGCAGGAACCAGTAAACATGTGTCAACCTTCTGTTGTCCAGTGAGTCTGTGCTCTGGTCTTAGCAGACAGATGTGGCTGTAACTCAGGCGGTAGAGCAGGTCATCTACTGATCAGAAGGTTGGTGGTTCGATTCCTGGCTTCCCCTAGTCTGGTTGCCAAATATCCTTGGGCAAGATATTAACCCCAAATTGCTCTCCGATGCATCCATCAGAGTATGAATGTGTGTGAATGTTACTTAGAAAGCACGAATGGGTGTGAGTGGGTGAATGCACAAGTTGTGTAAAGCGCTTTGAGTGCTCAGAAGAGTAGAAAAGCGCTATATAAGAACCAGTCCATTTACCATTTACCAAGGTGTGGCCTTAGCCTGCAGCTGTGTTTCAGACCTCTGTAAACTCACAGATGATTGGAGGGAAAATCCCTGCAAATCACCAGTTTGTGAAATACACAAACCAGCAATAATTGCCACATTTAAAGTCACTGAAATCATCGTTTCTTCTCCATCATTGTCCTTCCATACAATATAAAGCGCCTTGGGGCGACTGTTCTTGTGATTTGGTGCTATATAAATAAAACTGAATTTAACTGAATTGAATTGAATCCATTATGTTGGTTAGTTTGAACTTCTGCAGGTTGTTTTCAGCATGTCTACATGCCTAGGTGCAGTAAGTTGGTGTCATGACATTGGCTGATTAGATATTTAGATCAATGAGCAGCTTACAAGTGTTCCTAATGAAGTGTCCCCTGAGTTTACTTAATGGCCATGGAACATGTATAATTCCACGAACCTTTAGTCAGTGTTTTGGAATGTGTGTTATCAGTAGGGCTGCCACGATTAGTCGACTAGTCACGATTACGTCGACTATCAAAATCGTCGACGACTGATTTAATAGTCGACGCGTCGTTTGAAGCTTTGTAAGATCACAAAAGACGCAGGAATAAGTAGCAGGATTTAAGAGTGTAATAACGGACTGAAACAGAAGATGGCAGCACTGCATGTACAAGGATGCCAGCTGCCGTTAAACCCCGAAGAAGAAGAAGCTGTGTCCCAGAATTCATAGCGGCGGCAGCTAGTTAGTTTTAATATTACTCTTATTATTCTTTCTGGGTCACAAAATAAACGTTTAACATATTTTCAGGCGAGAATGTAGCTGTGTAAACCTCAAATATCTGCTCAGTTTATCAAGACACCACATATTTTCAAAAGTGCTCCGACGTTTTCGGAGACGTCTGTTACCCACTAGCTCGATAGCTAGCCGGGAGCAAGGCTCGCTAGAGCCGTGAGAACACCGGACTCCCGGCAAATCGTTTTCAAACCCACCGCCGTCTTTCGCGACTCAGGTTAAACACGATATATAAGTCACTTAGATAACTTAAAATGTTATTGTTTGGCTTTTTTCAGTGATTTATTTGTTCCTGAGTAAATCGGTTTGGCTGAGATTAAAGTTATAGTTTTTACACAGCTGAATAAACGTCAAGCAGACAGCTGATTATCAGAAGTGTGAGATGCTCGAGAATTTACTCCGGTGTCCTGTTATATTTTAGATAGCAAGGAGTTTATTAAACTCCACCGAAACAATCTGCAAATTTCATTTAAATTTAATAAACTATCATCTTGTCTTTATTTGTAGTTAGCACCTTAAACACTTACAGCTGTAAGCTAATGATAGTTATGTAAGAGCAGATGCTGCTGGTGCAATAAGCTGTATGTTTTACGTCCAATGGATGATGATCTGATTAGTCGACTAATCGCAAAAATAATCGGTGACTAGTCGACTATCAAAATAATCATTTTTGGCAGCCCTAGTTATCAGCCAGTGGTGACGTGTGAGCTCAGAGTTACAACATCTCATACTCCAGTCACACATTACTGTACACACATCATAACGACAGTACAGACGATTTCACACACTGACCTTTGACCTTCAGTTGCACATGGGTCTTGCTCTGATCTTGTCCATATTTGCGGACGATGCAGGTGTAGGTCCCACCATCAGAGACTGTAGGGTTCCTCAGGGTGAGGCTGAGGTCTCCAGTCTGCAGGGCGTCGGCTTTCATCGATGTTCGGTTGGTGTAACGATGGTTCTGATCGTTCAGAATATCATCGCCACTCTGCACACGCATGTGGACTGTTGGGATCTTGAACTCATCACGGTCCCAGACCACTGCTGTGGAGCTACTGGAAGCATTAACAGGTACCTGACAGGGCAGCAGGACAGACTCCTCCCCTTCATACACCTCATACACCTCCACCCCTGAGGCATGATGGGAAACTGAGGAGAGAAACAGAGTGTCGTCATTCAGTCTGTCCACAGTGTGGGTCACATGTAGGGATGAGTTCTAACAAGAGGTTTTAAATTAGTACCAGTAATGACGACAGTGTGTAACACTAGAAACCTTTGAAAACATATTGAAGCTCATCAGGAGCCTCCATCAGCGCTCAAAGGTATAAATAGATCAGGAGCCAAAGAAACATCTGCTCCATGCAGACAAGTTTTTCTTGGAAGGCCTTCGTGTTTGAGCAAAGGATGCTAAACCGCAGACTTCATCTATTCCAGCAACACAGCTTCATAAGAGACGAGTCCGGCTGCTGAACCGTCTGAACCTTTCACCAGCTGACAACATCTGGAGCATCATGAGCTCAACGACAGGACGAAGCAGAGCCAGGACTGCTGGAACAGCTGGAACCCTCCATCAGACCAGAACCGCTGCTGTCCTCAGCTCACAGACTGATGTTAAAGAGGAAACATGGACCTGTGCTACTTTAGAGAAATTTTCCATTTTCAAACTCCAGCGCTTCTCTGAGTTTCAGATGTTTCATTTTCGGTTTTCTGTACTTTGAGCATTTCTCGGGGAGCTCATATTTTTACTCTCTATCTTTTTAAAACTCCACTTTTTACATTTGAAACAAGCTCATTATCTCACGTCACTGCACACCTACTGTACCCTGATTAACCTGACCTCAGACTCGATGTGAAGTTCTCACACATGACACGAGTCATGTTTATTTCCTTAAAAGCAGCTCATTCAGCATATGCGCTTCTCTGTCTGCTGTTAGACAAATCCTCACACACACATTTTCTGCTAATTGGCAAAAAAATTATTGCCTGTATTCAAATTGCTGTAAATGACTTGTTGGTCTACTCTAATCTAATCTGTCATAAATGATATAGAGTCATTTTAAGCCTGAACATTCCTGCCTCAGGGTAAATATCCTTTTCAGTCCAGCTAAAAACACACACGGAAACTTCTTCCTGGCACACCAGCATCATCCCCTACTTTGACAGTAAAATCAGTGAAATGCAAACGTTTGATCACTGCAGATTGTGTGGGAGCATTCCTGGTCAGAGCTCAGGGATTATGGTGTATTAATGACGTAAAGCTGAGAAGAAGCAGAAGCAACACAAATGTCAACCATTTGTGTTGCTTCTGTTTGAAAGACATTAATAAAAGTTTCTACTGGTCACCCAAGGTCAGCCAACTCCTTGCTTTATTGTGAAAAGGTTGTGAAACATCCTAATCATGCTCTTAAAAGTAAAAAAAAAAACTGGGTTAACATATAAGAGTTAAAATAAACTCTGCATTCAGTCGGAGACAAAGCTTCATTTGTAAAATACAAAACTACTTGTAAAACCTGGAGAGTAACAGACTAAGCTGTGACTGAGTGTGGCTCATCCAGCAATCTGTTATTCACTGAGTTGAAGCAGGGACCGGTAAATACTGAAAACATCCCCCTGTGGCTGACAGCAGCCCAACTATAGACAGGTTCAAAGTTCTTACCGTGCACGAGTAGCAGGAAGGGCACGAAGCTCTTCATCCTCCTGTGGCAGAGACTATAACCAACTCTGCTCCACCCAACACCCAAATCCTCACACGGCTCTAACTTTCCAGCTGTAATGAGAAAGTTTTACTTTCAGTTTCAACCTTCAAAGTAAAAGCTCGTAGAGACGTATTCAGAGACTTCATTCTCCCATTTGAGAGAAAAGTGCTGCAGTCAGTGACAGCAGGAGCTCAGTAAAAGCTCTATTTTTATTCTCTCTATTATTATTATTATTTTTTAATCGCTCTGTGTCGTAGTTTGCAATTGTTACATTGTATTTTACAATTACATTGTAAATTACATTACAGTTACATTGTGTATCACAATTGTAATGTAAAGTGTTTGTAGTTTGTAAAGCTCTGTCAGTAGCGGTTTTTGATACGGGCGACACGGGCGGTTGCCCGGGGCGGCATCGTGGTGGGGGGAGGCATCACGGGCATCGGCAGAAAAAAAAAAAAATTGCTCGTACTCATGCTGCCCCGACATCAGCCAGCCATATTGGGAATGGTACAGGCACCGATCGGCTTTCTATCGCCCATTTGCTGGGAGTAAGGGCGCCCTGCATTTGCGAGGTGCGCCTGCTGCGGCGGGGGATTCTCTGGTGGCTGGAGCAGCATCTAATAACCAACTCGCAAAATAAAACAAAATAAAAACACCAGACATCATGATACAGACTTATAATTTGCACTGATGTTTTTCGAAATTCTGTACACGAAAAGTGAGCGCGAGAGCCCTCAGTGCGCCTGCTTGCTGCTGAAGTCAAAGTAAACTTTATTGTCATCTCCGCTACAGACAGTCCAGCATATAGAGAGACGAGACGACGAGGCTCCAGTTACAGCGGTGCAAGTAAACAAACAATAAATGTAAGAAGAGTAAGAAAATAAATATGCACTTTAGGACTCGGGGTAAAGGGATCAATGATAATTTAAAATTTATAATTTACAGTTTGATGATTTAAAGTCTCACAAACAACCCATCGAAAGGGGAGGGGGCCGGCTTCTTCCAATTAGACCACATTTCATTCATAATGTTGTAAATCCAAGCCCATTATGTATTCATGATTTGAATCCTGGGTTGTGTGAAATCCCAGAAATAAACCCAAGACAAAGTGAATCTGTGAACTAAGGTGTAGAACAGGGGTCAGAAACCTTTAACACAGAAAGAGCCGTTTGGACCCGGTTTCCACGCAAAAGAAAACACTGGGAGCCGCAAATACTTTTTGACATCTAAAATGAAGATAGCACTATATATTATTTTATTTACTTTTATGCTTTGTATGAACAACTAGGGTGTGTTGCTTATGAAATCCATGAAGTGCTACAGAGAAAATTTCATTTTATTTATGTAATTAACACATTTTGAACTAAAATATAACAAAAGGAAAGACACCCAGCTGAACTAAAATGATCCAGCAAACAAAAACTGTTGTCAGCCACCACCCTTATACGATGATACCACCTGGCCAGTTCACCAGTCTAAATCAGTGGAAATCACTGCAAACATTTTAATGTTTAAAATTATTAATTCATGCATTCATTCATTTACAGAGTGGCTTTGGTCATTCTGTGTGAAACACCTCAAAACTGTTGTTCTGTGCTGCCCAACCTTTTTCGTATATGTCCGACAATATTTTCACGGACCGGCCTTTAGGTGTTGTGGATAAATACAACAAAATAAAACCAGTACCAGTGACAAAAAAAGAGGACTTATTCATAACACGCGGACCCAGGGAAACCGAGTTAATGATAAAAACATTTAAAAATGTAACGATAAAGGCCCTGAAAACCATGAATTTCCCACCCGAGCCTCAACTCTCGTGGCCTGGTACCAAACGTCTCACGGACCACTGGTCCATGGCCTGGGGGTTTGGGGCCAGTGCTGTAAAACACACGTGACACACAGATCAGCTGAGTGTTCAGGAACCCTGATCCTCTCCTGTTCAATTCGATTTTATTTATACAGCACCAAATCACAACAACAGTCACCTCCAGGTGAGGTAGAACCTACAATAATACATACAGAGAATCTTATGACCCGCTATCAGCAAGGGCTTTGGTGACAGTGGGAAGGAAAAACTCCCATTTAACAGGAAGAGCTTTTAAGCAGAACCAGACCGGTTGGGGGTGATGGAGTTGTCACATGTTGCTGTCCAGGTGAGATCCTGATTGGCAGTGGGAGCTGTGCATCTCTGACCTTCCTCTCCTCATCCTTTGAAATCTCCCACCTTGCCCTTGCTTCCTGCTTTCTTTTTTGGATTGTCACTGACTCTGTGCAAGATTAGGGACCACATTTCCACTTGCCCTTACACTTGTAAGCTCAGGTGGTTAAAGTTCACAGCTAAAATAAAATAAATTGAACTGATCTAGCAGAACTAACATTTTGTGTTTAATGTTAGTGAGCACAGAAGCTGTCTCTAGCTCCCCCTACAAGCTCAAACAGAACATGTAATGTCAGGTTGAGGTGATTATTTTGAGTTTGCTGATGGCGTTTGATTTCAGGAGTTGTTGTCAAGGTTACCTGTCAACCCATCAGATTTCTTCTTTTTTTTAAAGACCACCTGACTATAACTGACCTGAGCACACCCTGGGGACAGAAATATGAGGGAATAATATCAGGTAGATGTGAAGGTGAACACTGAATCACCACCATCATCATCAGTTTTTGCTCATGTTTACCTGAAGGGTAAGACACACACACACACACACACACACACACACACACACACACACACACACACATACACACACACACACACACACAGTGAGAAATTGTGTGTTGACTGAAACTATAAAGGATGGTGTGTGTGTGGGTTGTTTTGGTGACACACACCTGTCCTGTGTGAAGGAGACATCAGCATAGGTGACATCTGAAAGAGGAGATGAGTCACTCCTTCCTGATAAATGAAGCAGGAAACAAAAACATATTCTAGTGATTAAACTGTTCATTTGAAGTCCTTCTTATCTTCGTGACCTTATAGTACCATATGACCCTATTAGAGCACTTCAAATCCTTCCTTAGTTATACTGCAGTTATACAGCAGATCTGGGCTCCAGGTTCTGCTCAAGGTTTCATCCTGTTAATTATGATGATGATGATAATGATGAAAATGATTATTATGATTATTTTTTATTGGGAGGTCAGTCAGTAACACATGCCTGTAAAATATGTTGGTTGGATGAGGTTATGTTTAATTTAATGCTTTCATGCTGAGCTGACCAAGCATCAAACACAAAGAGTAGCAGCATAAACACCACATCCTGTCACAGACACAGGTACATATAAGGTATGTAGACCACAGGATATGAAGTTTACACATGGGCTGCTTCCTGTTGACAGAGATGAGAGCTCATAAACTTTCACATTATAAAGTATGTCAGAAGCAGATGAAACCACACAGGTCTTACTTGTTTAAACTCTAATGCAAAATATATTGTAGAGCCCAGAGTGGACATTAACACTCAGCTAAAGATTAATTAAATAATCACTTAATTCTTAAAGTACAAGAGCAAGTAAACTAAACAGTACTCTGGTCCTGCACTGGTTTAAACTCTAACAACTTAACAGAGTGAACCCTTTTATAGGCCCGGGCACTGATCATGACGGTAGAGGAGAAACAGCTCTCACATCATTTTTATTTTTATTATTGTTGTTATTATTATTATTATTGTTGTTGTTGTTGTTATTATTATTATTATTATCACAAAGCATCTGAAGCACTGTTAAAATGGTTTCCCACTGCCTTTCAGAGGACGGTTTAGGAATGTGACACTGCTGCACTCTTGTAGACTCTTATATGATCCACACTGATCTGACTGCAAACTGTTAAATCTAAAAGACTTTATACCTTTTAATTTCCTATAGAGGAGCAGAGCTCCAAGCAGAACTAGAACCAGAAGAATCACAGAAACCAGACCGGCTATCATGGCAACGATGGAGGAGGAGGAGGAGGAGGAGAGAGGAGGCGATGCTGTGCCAGTACACGGACATGCAGAAGTATCGGGAGAGTTAACAGGAGAGGTGCAGGCTGTGGTGAGGATGAAGATGGTTCAGTCAGTTCATTATCAGGTCAGCAGGTCATTAAAACAAAAGTGATGTCAGTGTTCTGACCTCTGACCCGCAGAAAGCTCTGATGAGATTCTCCAAATGTGTCAGTAGAACATGAGTAGAGACCTTCATCAGACTGCTGGACATTTGTGATGATGAGCTCCGATTTAGATTCAGACCCAACATGACTTCCATTAATGAAGAAATAAGCTCTGACTGTGCCACCATTCCTCTGTCTGCAACGCAAGGTCATGTTACTTCCTGTCCTCACAGGAAGTGCAGGAATCTCCAGGATCACATGTTTATCTAACCAACAGAAACACAAACAGAGCATGACACAACGTCTTTGGAAAAACAGGAATTTTACATCCAACCTCTGGAAACATCTGCACAGAGACACAGCTGGAACAGCTGACTGTCTGTACCTGAAACACTGATGGACACTTCATCGCTCTGCTGTCCAGATGAGTTCTCACAGAAGTAACTTCCCCCAGAGGAGACGGAGCAATCCAGAACACAGGAGGAACCATGAACCCTCCCAAAGCCTGCAGCTGCTCCACAGTCCTCAGTGAGTCCTCCTCTGGTCCTCTTCACTGTCCATCCATCAGCTGTCTGTCCATCATCAACACAACTCAGAGACACTGAAGATCCACTGAAGACCTGCTGAAGGTTTGGACTGACAGACAGAGACACTGGAGGACACACACACACACACACACACACACACACACACACACACACACACACACACACACACAGAGTAAATGTATTTGTGTTCTTGTTGGAGTCTCACTGATTGTTTTCATTTCATCAACTCACCTGCAGAAACAGTTGGTGCAGACAGCAGCAGCACACACACACCTGTAACAGGAGGACAAAGGTCAGTAAAGGTCAGAGGTCACTGTGTGGGAATTACTATAATTCCTGAGAATATAGCCTCATCAAATACTGTG